CCCCAAAACCCCAAAACCCCAAAACCCCAAAACCCCAAAACCCCATAAATAGTGCTTGTAATTGATTCCAATAATTGTTATAAGCCTTTATAGTAGTTATAATGGAGCATAGTCAAAACTGGAGCCATGATTTAGCAGATAAAGAAGGTAAGATCTTATAGTAATAATATCCTTACAACCAACTTTAGGTCCAGAATCTCCAAAAAGCATAAGAGAATCTCCAAAGCCAGGTTTCCACCCCTCTTCTCCTACTCTCTCTGAGCACAACCTCAGCCTCTCCACTCATCCAATCCTACCCTCTTTGGCCCCTGAAGATCCTCCAATTGCTGCCTCCTGAACTAGTGTGTCTCAGTCACAAATTGTGACTAGCTCTAGTAAGCCTACCACTTCACTTCTCTCAAAGACAGTTACTCCTGAAGTCAAGACATCTCTGAGTCCAGAACTTGGAGCTAATACAGATCCTAACAAACTTTCAACAAGAAATAAACTAAGAAAATTGAGAAAAGAAGTGAATACCCAGAAGTCGCTAAATAAAGAGCTCAGAAACAGTCTTAGTTCGGTAAAAGGATGAAACACCAAGCTCAAATAAAGAAAATATCTTCCAGAAATCTAAAATAGAGAAACTTCGAGAAGAAGTTGATATGCAAAACAAGTCCAACCAAGCCCACAAAAGAGAGAAACTTATACTTACCACCAAAATAGAGAGCCTGGAAGACACCATAGATGGGCTTAAAGACACGATAGCTGTAATGGAGACTCGCTATGAAGGTAATTTTTGATGATTATTGGTTTACAAAAGGAGCAATCCTGTTAATCTGAGAATTGGCTAATGATATAGATATTATAACTTACTTGAATTTAATTCATAGTTCATCAAAAGTTATGCATTCTTATAGAGGAGCATGGGCATAAGAGGCTTGTAATGCCGAAAGCCTTAGACTCAGATCACAGACTTCATGAAGCTGAGAAAAAGATTATGATTCTTGAAATAAGGCTCAAGCATGCTAGAGAGGAGCAACAGCAAAAGGTTCGCAGAGCTGGAAACAAACTTTTACAAGAAAGAGCCAATGCTCTTGAAGGATATTTTAAAGTAATTAGAGATAAAGGAGAAATAAAAAAACTTGAAAGTAAACTAAGGGCTGCTAAACAGAAAATCTCTAAATCCAAGAGAAATTATAAACTCCTTCAGTTCAACTACAAAAAGCAAGTAAAAATAAACAGTGAGTTATCGAAGATGCCTAAGAGTATTCCATGAACTACCCCCTCCCAAACCTCACTCATTTGTCAATCCACCATGAATAAACTGAAGTCCTTATTAGAGTGTCCTGTAACACACTCTAAAATGAGCTCCCCTTGCTCTTTACCATCAGGTCATACCATCGCTAAAAGCAAGGTAGAAGAGCTGATCAAATCTGGTTCCTCAGACCCGTTCAGCGGAGAACAGTTGAGAGGTAAGCCTGTGCCTAATAAGTTTGCCGAGAGAGTATTTGAAGTTTTGGAGGAAATGGAGAATGAACTTTTAAGCTAATTTTGATTATAAATCCATGGAATTTTGCAAAAATTCAATGTTTCAACTTCGAATTAGATGAAAGGGGTTTTGGGGTTTTGGGGTTTTGGGGTTTTGGGG